AAAGCTGCTACATCCCCCTAGCAGCAGCAGCAGATGCTGCTGCTGCTGCTGTTGCTGCTGCTGCTGCTGCTGCTGCTGTTGCTGCTGCTGGCTCAGGAGGAGCGAAAGCCACCTCTACGCTTCCCCCCTCCCTGCCGGCCTCCTTGCTGCTGCCTCTTCATCGCCCCATACCAAACACGGTGACCTTGTTGCTGCTGCTGCTGCTGCTGCTGCTGCTGCTGCTGCAGTTGCGGCAGTTGCTGCGCTTGTTGCTGCTGCAACTGCTGTGCTTGCTGCTGCTGAGGGTGCAGCTGCTGCTGGGGAGGGAATTGCTGCTGCTGCACCGCATATGGCTGCTGCCATTGGTGCTGCTGCTGCTGCTGCTGCTGCGAGTACTGCTGCGGCAGGAGCTGCTGCTGCTGCTGCACGAAGTGCTGCTGCTGCTGATTCAGCAGAAACTGCTGCTGGTGCGGCTGTTGCTGCTCCTGGGGGGGCACAAACTGCTGCTGCTGTTGCGGGTGTTGCTGCTGTTGGGGAAGCAGCAGCTGCTGCTGCTGCGGTGGCAGGAGCTGCTGTTGCTGCTGCTGCAGCTGCTGTTGTTGCTGCGGCAGAGGTAGCCCCTGGGGATGCAGTTGCTGCTGCTGCTCGGTGTACTGCTGCTGGTGCTGCTGCTGGTGGGAGAACATCTGTTGCTGTTGCTGGGGCTGCTGCTGCTGCTGCTGTTGCTGCTGCGGTAGCTGGCATGGTTGCTGCTGATACTGGGGGTGCTGCTGCTGCTGGTTTTGCTGCAGCACCTGCTGCAGATGTTGCAGTTGCTGTTCCCAGGGAGGGGATGATTGAGGCTGCATCTGCTGCTGCTGCTGCTGCAGCTGCAGCTGCTGCGGGTGCGGCTGTTGCTGCTGCTGCTCATGCACAAATTGCTGCTGCTGCTGCTGCTGCTGTCCTTGGTATTGGTGGTAAATTTGTGGCTGCATAAAGTGCTGCTGCTGCTGTTGCTGCAGCTGCTGCTGCTGCAGCTGTTGGACGTTCTGGGTCATAGCTTGCGGTTGCTGCAGCTGCAGCTGCTGCTGCTGTTGTTGTTGCTGGTGCTGCTGCTGCTGCTGCTGCCACTGTTGACGGTACCTCTGCTGGTGCTGGTGCTGCAGGCACCTTTGGGGTGGGAGCGGCCGTTGGTCTGCATACACCTGCCGAAGCTGTTGTTGCTGCTGCTGCTGCTGCTGTTGGTGCTGCTGCTGCTGTTGGTGCTGCTGCTGCTGCTGCTGCTGCTGCTGCACTGCGTATCGAGATTCGCCGGCTAGACCGCCACGTCCCTCTCCCGTGGCTTCTCCTAGTTGCTCGTGTTGCTGCTGCTGCTGCTGCTGCTGCT